GGTGCGTGTCACTTATAGTTTCCGTGGCCAGCCATATCAATACTTGCATCATCAATACTTTGCTGCGGGAGGGAGGGTAGGAAGGAAGGAGGGGGGAAGGGGGGGTCCCCAGCACACGCCCACGACCCCGCCCCTTCACTCCGTGTATGTGAATCAAGTGCTATGCATATATGTATGTATGTATAAGATTTTGAATATATAGTAATATGTATATATACATCTTATACAAATTCCATTTCATGTATATGAGAGATAAGTCATTCTCACAGATCAATTGATCAGTTATATAATTGATCAATTATATAAGCGCCTAATTAATTTAATTGACCAATTAATGTAATATAATTGATCAGTTACTATAATATGAAATGGTTAATTGAGGCTGTGGCGAGTCTTGTCCCACTGTATAGTTCCTTCTTTATAACTACTGATTACTGAATACTTCCTTATTTGTTACTAACAAGCTCTTAATACTTCCTTATTTGTTACTAACAAGCTCTTAATACTTCCTTATTTGTTACTAACATGCTCTTAATACTTCTCTGATTTTTGTTACTAACCATAGCTCTTAAATACTCCTTATTTGTTACTTAACATGCTCTTAATACTTCCTTATTTGTTACTAACAAGCTCTTAATACTTCCTTATTTGTTACTAACATGCTCTTAATACTTCCTTATTTGTTACTAACAAGCTCTTAATACTTCCTTATTTGTTACTAACAAGCTCTTAAACTTTCCTATTTGTTACTTAACAAGCTCTTAATACTTCCTTATTTGTTACTAACAAGCTCTTAATACTTCCTTATTTGTTACTAACATGCTCTTAATACTTCCTTATTTGTTACTAACATGCTCTTAATACTTCCTTATTTGTTACTAACAAGCTCTTAATACTTCCTTATTTGTTACTAACAAGCTCTTAATACTTCCTTATTTGTTACTAACAAGCTCTTAATACTTCCTTATTTGTTACTAACAAGCTCTTAAATACTTCCTTATTATGTTACTAACATGCTCTTAATACTTTCCTTATTTGTTACTAACAGCTCTTAAACTTCCTTATTTGTTACTAACAACAGTCTTAATACTTCCTTATTTGTTACTAACATGCTCTTAATACTTCCTTATTTGTTACTAACATGCTCTTAATACTTCCTTATTTGTTACTAACATGCTCTTAATACTTCCTTATTTGTTACTAACATGCTCTTAATACTTCCTTATTTGTTACTAACATGCTCTTAATACTTCCTTATTTGTTACTAACATGCCTTAATAACTTCCTTATTTGTTACTAACATGCTCTTAATACTTCCTTATTTGTTACTAACATGCTCTTAATACTTCTTTATTTGTTACTAACATGCCCTTAATACTTCCTAGTTTATTAGTATTTTCTACTGGATAGTTACTTGTTTGTTACTACCATCTACTGGATGGTTCCTTCTCTGCTACTGCCGAAGGTAAACCAATTACTACAAACTACAGACCAACAGTACTAACTTCTCACATTATCTAAATTACAGACCAACAGTACTAACTTCTCACATTATCTAAATTACAGACCAACAGTACTAACTTCTCACATTATCTAAATTACAGACCAACAGTACTAACTTCTCACATTATCTAAATTACAGACCAACAGTACTAACTTCTCACATTATCTAAATTACAGACCAACAGTACTAACTTCTCACATTATCTAAATTACAGACCAACAGTACTAACTTCTTACATTATCTAAACTACAGACCAACAATACTAACTTCTCACATTGTCTAAATTACAGACCAACAGTACTAACTTCTTACATTATCTAAATTACAGACCAACAGTACTAACTTCTTACATTATCTAAACTACAGACCAACAATACTAACTTCTCACATTATCTAAATTACAGACCAACAGTACTAACTTCTCACATTATCTAAATTACAGACCAATAGTACTAACTTCTTACATTATCTAAATTACAGACCAACAGTACTAACTTCTCACATTATCTAAATTACAGACCAACAGTACTAACTTCTTACATTATCTAAATTACAGACCAACAGTACTAACTTCTTACATTATCTAAATTACAGACCAACAGTACTAACTTCTCACATTATCTAAATTACAGACCAATAGTACTAACTTCTTACATTATTTAAACTACAGACCAACAGTGCTAACTTCTCACATTGTCTAAATTACAGACCAACACTTCTAACTTCCCGCATTAACAAAAATTTTTGAAGGGGTCCTGTGAAACATCAAATGGAATAGCATCAGTTGCGACAATGTACAGTCCATGGCAGCCTGTGTTGGACCAGGTCTCTACTGCCTTTCACAGTTGCTAAACCATTACGACATGGTCTTGGATGCACGGGAAGACAAGCAGAATGCTAATGTAGTGTACACTGACTTTGCAACAGCCTTCAACAAGTGCGACAAATGGTGTGATAGCGCACAAAATGCGCGCAAAAGAAATAACTGGAAGAGTGAGTAAAGGAATATTTAGGTTAACAAATAGAACTCAGAGAGGAGTAGTAAACAGTGAAGTAGGAATTGCCATATTGAAAAGTTGTGTTGTCAAGGCACAGTATTCCCTCTACTTTGTTGCTCATTCTTACATCAGACATAGACGGAGACATAAATCATAGTACCGTAACATCTGTTGCTGATTATACCAGAATCTCTGAGTTGCGTCCCTCATAGACAACGAATCTTCAAGAGGATATAAATCAAGTCTTCCAGTGGGCCTCAGACAATATAATGTTCATTAAGGGCAATTTTCAATTTCTCCACTATGAAAGTAAGGAGGAAATATAGACTGAAATGGAGTACAAAACAAACTCAAATCACTCAACAAAGCGAAAGTTCAATGTATGAGACTTAGGAGTGACTGTCAAAGATTTCAGTCAAGGATCACAGCAATGTTACTGAACCACTGATGATACTCTTCAAGTAACTGGTTCTCTCCGATGCTGGAATATTGCTTCCTTCTAACAGCCCCATTCTGTATTCTAAAGCTTCTTTGTATATTCCCAGCTCTTGATATCTCTCTTGCCTTGAACACAGCTGTGAGCACAGAGCAATATTCTAGACGTGTGAGCACAAGTAATTTAAATAGTACTATCAGTGGCTTTATTTCTCATATTTTCAAAGTTCTCAGTGTCCACTCTATCCTTTTTCTGGACTTTGCTGCATTTGAAGCGGGAGGAAAATTCTCGAAACCCGTCAAAGACATATCAAAGGTATCATCTGACATTATTATTCCTAAGTCTTTTACTTGTTTCTTATGTTATAAGAAATGGTCAGTTTGTTGTATATTCAGTGTTTAATTTGAGTTCTTCATTCTTCCAATATCTAAGTAACTTAAAGTTACCACCAATGAGCATAATCTTATTTTCAGTTGCCTACTGGAAGGCGTTGCTGATATCTGATTGTAATATTTCTGCACAGTTTACTGAGGCGACTTTCATGCTGATTTTGGTATCTTCTGTGAAGGATTACACAAAACTGTGACTTGTTATCTATGTCTTCTGTAAGGATGAGAAACAGTAATGGTGTCAAAACCGTACCTTGGAGCACTGAACTTTTGTTTTAATGATCTAATAATAGCGAGAAGCATAATTTTACTGCTCTAAATCCATGCTAATTTGGGTTGTGTACGTTATGTTGATCCATAAAAACAGTAAGTTAGCGTCTCAGGAGCCTTTCAAAGACTTTTATGACGTGTGATGCTAATGTTACTGATCTGAAATATTTTTACCATCACTCTGCTGTCTTCGTTGTGAAGGACTCCGTCTGCACTGTTTAAGACTGACCCCATGTATTAAAGATCTTCCCTATAAGGATAGACTGAGGGCCCCCGAACCTGCACTCTCTAGAAGGGCATAGAATTAGGAGGGATATGATTGAGGTGTATAAATGGAAAACAGGAATAAATAAAGGAAATGTATATATCGTGCTAAAAATATCTAGCCAAGACAGGACTTGTAGCAATGGTTTCAAGTTGGAAAAAATCAGATTCAGGAAGGATATAGGAATGCACTGGTTTGGTAACAGAGTTGTGGATGAGTAGAACAAACTCCCGAGTACCATCATAGAAGCTAAAACGTTGTGTAGTTTTAAAAATAGGTTAGATAATTACATGGTGGGTGCTGGTGGTTGTGAGTTGGACCAGACTAACTTGTGCTAACCATACCCCCGGCCGGGATTGAACCCGCGGTCATAGAGTCTCAAAACTCCAGCCCGTCGCGTTAGCCACTAGCCGGGGGTATGGTTTGTTTGCAATCGTGTCATTACGATTTCTTGAGTCAAGTTAACTTGTGCTAATAGGTCTGATGCATTGCTCCTTAAGTAGATGTGACCTGGACCTGACTAGATTGGGTCAGTGGCTTAATTAAGCCCGTAGGTGATTTGGACCTGCCTCGCATAGGCCAGTAGGCCTGCTGCAGTGTTCCTTCTTTCTTATGTTCTTATGCTGAGTGTAACTTTATACTGTGATGCATATGAAATCAAGCTGTCTGAATGATTGATTGTAGGTATTTGAAACTCAGTAGTAGTGTTTGGAGTACGTCCAAGAGGAAACAGGTTCAATTACTAGGTGGAAAGAGAGAGAGAGAGAGAGAGAGAGAGAGAACTAAGCTGGGTAACCCTGCCTCCCAAGATTTACCTCGGATAATATTACATTTGGCCTGTTTTATCCATTACTATCCTCCCTCCCTCCCCTATCTTCCTTCCCTCCTACATATGCTCCCTCATCTTCCCTCATTATCAGTATTCCTCAACCTCCATCTATATTATTAGTGCTATTATTGTATAAATATACACGCTGTATTTTGATTCGTCCAGGAGCCTGGTCTTGAATTTTCTGGGTATCTATTAACTTTCCCCTTTTCCCTAGTTGGGGGAGGGAGGGAGGATAGGTGTTTTGGGTGGGTCTCTCCTCACCCCACTGTGGGGGTTTTGTTCAAGAAGATAGGTTGGTTGCTTAATTAGCCTCTACGAGGGTCATTAAGGCTGCATGGTAACCTGTTCACCACCAGAGAATACTTTAATCCCTAAAATTGGGAGTAAAGTTTCAGCATATATACAGTGAGTGAAATACGTCCCACAGGGTATAAATCCTGTAAGGAAGGTAGGTACTGAGATTGGTGTTTGTCAGATGGTGACTTGCCCAGTGGTTCAGCAACTACTGGCTTACCATTATTATATACCTGTGATATATCTGTAATATACCATGACTGGGCTTTTAGCCAGGCTTTTCTGTTCAATGCCTGTTCAACCAGGTTTGCTTGAGGGGTCTGTTAGAGTATCTCAGAACCTGGCTCTGTTGATGAACTTTGGGTCGTGAACTCCAGCACTGCGCCTGAGGTGTTCAGGGAGAATCGCTGCTACAAGTTCGCTGGACGCCACACATGAAGATAGGAATGCAAGGAATGCTGTCTGTGATATCTTGCGGACACCAGTGCCTCTTAGTCTAACTGGCAGTCTAGCTTGGTTCCACTGTTCGTCATTTAGAACGAAGTTGAGTATTTTTGTGAATATCGACCTTAGAGACTGTGGTATTCATGTAATTTAGGGTTGTATTTGAGGATGAACATCTTAGGGAATATGATAGCCTGAAGAGGCTGAAACACTGCGAGAAGGTACAATGCATCATATGTGTCTAGACTGCCTACTCGTTTTTCCATCCTCCTCAGATCATCCAGTTTGTCCTCGAGAATTACGGTAATAGCATTACTTTCTAGCTGGGCTCCAAGCAGGCTGTTGTCAGGAGTGAGGACAATGGTTGACGCACCTGGTAGTATGGATCTTGCTGCATCGATTGCTTGCTGGGTGGCTGAGATGATTTCCTATTTGAATGGACGAATCCCATTACTGGTACCCATGTCATCATCTGATCCAGATCTGCCAGAAGGGACTCCTTCGTGCCTGCCAGTGTGCCATCATCCAGGAACCAGATATTTAGTTTGCTA